TTTTTGAATTACACAAGATATGCCCTCTTTCCGTCACTCTTCCCATCACTCTCTCCATCTCTGTCAATCTCTCTGTCTCTCTCTCTCTCCATGTCACACTCTCTCTCTCTTTCTCTCTCTCTCCACCTGGCTCTCTTTCATTCTTTCATGTTACCTGCTGTCACTGTGTCTTTCTCCTTTGCCGTAATTTCTTCCACATCGACTTTCCTGCGCATTTCAAATCTCCGGGCAAATCCTTCCTTTGGTTTCCAGAGTGACTGAAGAATAAGGGGCTTCTCATTCTCACTCACAATCCGAAAACATTCCGTGCGCCATTGGTGGTCCTCATCTGACCGTCCAATCACATCACAGAGGACATAGTCACTGCTCGAATTCTTGTCCAGGGAATATCTGGATAAATATCAAACATAGGCCAACTAATCAACTAAAATTGGGCAGCACAGTGTTACATACAGAGTGAAGCTGTCTACACTTTTCTGTCAATGTACCTCTAAAACAGCTATTTCCTCAGCAGGACCTCTTGGGGAGTGAATTTACCAGTTTACTGCCAAGCAGCTTGGACGCTGTTTCAGGAACCTCTAATTTACCAACTCAATCCATTTCGGGTCTTGACAGGAAGTTGGAATGTCTTTGATTCCATTTATCCCACATCCCAGGTTTTGGATTTCTGCTGTACGGTTTCCACCTAATGACACTATCTACGATTCACAGAACGTTTGGGTCCTCAGACTTAAAAACATACCAGGGCCATGAGTACCAGCACTTGCCACTGTTCAGCATTGTTTTTTATTCATTTATGGGATGTGGGTCACTGGCTGTGCCATCATTTACCTCCTGTCCCTAGTTGCCCTTGAGAAGGTGGTGGTGAGCTGCCTTCTTAAACTGCTGCATGTCCATCTGCTGTAGGTAGACCCACAGTGCTGATAGAGAGCAAATTTCAGGAATTTGACCCAGCGACAGTGTCCAAGCACTGACAATATTTTGAAGTTGGGTGGTGAGTGGCTTGGAGTCAAACTTGCAGGGTGTGGTGTTCCTATGTACATGCTGCCCTTATCCTTCAAGGTAGAGGTGGTTGTGTGTTTGGAAGATGGTGTCTGAGGATCCTTGGTGAATTTCTGCAGTGCATCTTGTAGACAGTACACACTGCTGTTACTGAGCGTCAGTGGTGGAGGGACTTGATTCTTATGGATGTAGCACCAAACAGGCTGCTTTGTTCTGGAAGCTTCTTGAGTGTTGTTGGAGCTGCAGTCATCCAGGCAAGTGGGGACTATTCCATCACACTCCTGACTTGTGCCTTGTAGATGGTGGACAGGCTTTGGGAAGTCAGGAGTGGGGGTTACTCGCCGCAGTATTCCCAGCTTCTGGCCTGCTCTTGTAGCCACTGTGTTTATGTGGTGAGTTCAGTTGAGTTTCTGATCAATGGTAACCCTCAGGATGTTGATAGTGGGGGATTCAGTGATGGTAACACCATTGAATGTCAAGGGGTGGTGGTTAGATTGTCTCTTATTGGAGATGGTCACAGCATAACATTTGTGTGGCACAAATGTTTCTTACCACCTGTCAGCCCAAAACCTGGATATTGTCCAGATCTTGATGCATTTAGACATGAACTGATCAGTATCTGAGGAGTTGCGAATGGTGCTAAACATTGTGCAAACATCGGTGAACATCCCCACTTCTGACCTTATGATGGAGGGAAGGTCATTGATAAAGCAGCTGAAGATGGTCGGGGGGAGAGAGATAGTAGGAACTGCAGATGCTGGAGAATCTGAGATAACAAGGTGTAGAGCTGGATGAACACAGCAGGCCAAGCAGCAGAGGAGCAGGAAGGCCCATTTCTGAAGAAGGGTCTAGGCCCGAAACGTCAGCCTTCCTGCTCCTCTGATGCTGCTTGGCGTGCTGTGTTCATCCAGCTCTACACCTTGTTATCTCTGAAGATAGTTGGGCATAGGACACTACCCTAAGGAACTCCAGCAGAGATGACCTGGAGCTGAGATGACTGACCCCCAACAACCACAACCATCTTCTTATGTGTCAGGTAAGACTCCAACCAGCGGAAGTCAAGCGCTGTCACTCTCACCTTACCTCTGGAATTCAGCTCTTTTGTCCATGTTTGAACCAAGGCTGTAATGAGGCCAGGAGCTGAGTGGTCCTGGCGGAACCCAAACTGGGTGTCACTGAGCAGGTTATTGCTGACCAGGTGCTGCTTAATAGCACTGTTGATGACACTGCTGGCTGGGAGACGGAGCGCCGAGGGAGGGGGCCGGCTGGGAGACGGAGC